TCTCTACTAAAAATACAAAAATTAGCTGGGTGTGGTGGTGGGTGCCTGTAATCCCAGCTACTCAGGAGGCTGAGGCAGGAAAATCATCGCTTGAACCCAGGAGGCGGAGGTTACAGTGAGCCAAGATCACGCCACTGTACTCCAGTCTGGGTGACGAGCAAAACTCCATCTCAAAAAAATATATATTTATATATATATAAATTCTTATGTCTCAATGGTTGCAGAACACTGGTGGAAATGGGTGAGTCAATTTTTGAAGAGAACCAACCGATGAGCTACTTGAAAGTGGAAATGCTGCTTTGAAAATCCTCCAGGGCAAGAACCACCTTCCCTTACTTTTGTGGCGACAGCAGTTCTCTCTGCAGCTATGTGGAGACTTTAACGGTGTTTATCGGGGACACTTTCCAGAAGTGTCTTGCAGCAGAACCTTGCTATAAAGTTAAATTGTGTGAAACTAACAATGATTTTTCTATGTGCAAGGGAGGCTAGAAATATCCCAGACATAACAAAAGCAAAATGAGCACAATCTGTTTCCTATCTTTAAGATAGTTTCAATTCCAGAGGGAATTTAAAAGTTTGGAGTTTAAAAAGCCAAACAGATCATTTATCATAGGTCTAATGTATTAGTGGCCACATGTACACAATTGATCAAAGCATCCTGGCTATTTTTATAATCCGCTGGTAGTTCCTACATCAATTGAGGTGATACAAATGATCGCTCAGCTCTGGTCGTATGTTCACAGAGATATGGTGGTATTTTTTAACTTCTCACCTTAGAATTGGTTTTAACTTCAACAGTTGTGCTTCCAAGATTTCTATACTCCTCTACCACCCACAAACTCCACAATTCCCACTGTAAACAACAGCTGCTGCTCTGACATTTCACTCCTGTGAAATGAAATGTGCTTTACTTCCCTGGCATCAAAAAGGACATGATATATACTCCTTGCCTACCTTTCCAGTCTTATCATCTGGTATCTCCACATCAAAATGTGCACATTAGCAATATATGTCTAATCCCCTCTTCCTGAGTATGGACTGGATGGAGTCACTTGCTTCAAAGGAGCAAAATACAGAAAAAGCGATTCGCTTACAAATGACTGTGTCTTCGATCATGGTGGCACTCTCCCTTACCCTCTTACCTGCTCTGCTGAAGCAGGCCGTCATGTTGGGAGATGCTCTGTGAAAAGGCCTACACAGCCAGAAACAGAGGGAGGAACTGAGGCCTCAGTCCAACCACCAAGTATGGGAGTGAGCTGGGAGGCGGATCCTTCCTGGTCAAGCCCTGAGATGACTGCAGTCTTATGAGTGACTCTGAGCCAGAGGTGGCCTTCTGGTGTGCAGAACTGAGATAATAAATGTGTGCTGTTTTAAGCCACTATGTTTGGGAGTAATTTGTTACGCAGCAGTAGGTAACTAATACATTCACCCAGCAGGGTGGTTATGAGGATGAAATGAGGTCATATAAGAAGTATTTAGCAAAATGCCTGACACCATAGTGGGCACTGCACAATTAGCTCTATTCTCCTCCTTCCATCTATTTCCACTGCCACCCCCACGGTCCAAGCACCCATCGCTTCATGTCTAGATTCCTGCAACAGTTTTGCAAATAGTTTCCTCACTTTCCTTTGTCCACCTGGTTATCTTCTTTAAAAACAAATAGCTTGCTATTCCTCAAAAGATAAAGACTGATTGACATTCAAGGCCCTCCACGCTGTCTCCAACCTGTATTTCTAAGTTCATTTCTCATTACACTCTCACACCTTACTACCACTCTACTAAGATCAATATATTCGCTATAACCCAAATATATTTTGTATATTCCCACCCTAGTAACTGTGCTAATGAAATTTTACCCATTCAGTATTCATTCTCTCTTTTCTCCTGAGTTCCAAACCACCACTCTCCCTACCCCATCACTGAAAGTACCATTCCTCCACTAAGCTTTTCCAAACCTCATCACCCCATGATGATTTTTTCCTTCTCTACATTAAGAATATTTACTCTTTTGGCATGTAGGAACAAAAGTTCTCTTGAAGCAATTCATGAACAAATACCTAGAGTGTTAATGTTACTGTGAACAATGTTTTTCTAATATGGTATCAGATCTGCAAAATTACGCATTTAAAAAAAAAAAAAATGTGGCCAGGCACAGTGGCTCACACCTGTAATCCCAGCACTTTGGGAGGCCGAGGTAGGTGGATCACTTGACGTCAGGAGTTCAAGACCAGCCTGGCCAACATGGTGAAATCCCCTCTCTACCAAAAAATACAAAAATTAGCCAGGCGGGGTGGTGTGCTCCTGTAGTCCCAGCTACTGAGGAGGATGAGGCACAAGAATCACTTGAATCCAGGAAGCAGAGGTTGCAGTCAGCTGAGATTGCACCACTGCACTCTAGCCTGGGCGACAGAGTGAAACGCTGTCTCAAAAAATAAATAAATAAATAAAAATAGAAATAAAAAATGAAAGCAGAAGTCGTGCCTCTTTTTCATGACACCTCAGGGGCAATCAGCTGCTTCAAGATGCTTCAGTGATGAGGTAGGGAGAAAGGTGGTTCGGAACTCAGGAGAAAACAGGGAAGGAATACTGAATGGGTAAAATTTCAAGATAAAAAGCAAACCATGCTTTTTATGAGAAGCGTATGGCCACAGAAGTTGCTGCTGGCACTCTGGGTAAACACTGGAAGGGTTACACAGTCTGATTCAGTGGTGGGAACAAGGTTTCCTCATGAAGCAGGATGTCTTGACCCATGGCCATGTCTGCCTGCTGCTGGGTAAGGGGCATTCCTGTTATAGAGCCGGGAGAACTGGAGAAAGAAAGCAATAATCTGTTCAAGTGTGCATTGTGGATGCCAATCCGAGCATTCTCAAATTGGTTATTGTTAAAAAAAAAAAAGGAGAGAAGGCCGGGCGCGGTGGCTCAAGCCTGTAATCCCAGCACTTTGGGAGGCCGAGACAGGCGGATCATGAGGTCAGGAGATCAAGACCATCCTGGCTAACACAGTGAAACTCCGTCTCTACTAAAAAATACAAAAAACTAGCCGGGCGAGGTGGCGGGCGCCTGTAGTCCCAGCTACTCGGGAGGCTGAGGCAGGAGTATGGGGTGAATCTGGGAGGTGGAGCCTGCAGTGAGCCGAGACTGCACCACTGTACTCTGGCCTGGGCGACAGAGCAAGACTCCATCTCAAAATAAATAGATAGATAGATAGATAAATAAATAAATAAATAAGGAGAGAAGGATATTCCTGGGCTAATCCTATAGTGTCTCATCTCCTGGGGCCCAAGATCTAGCAGAATCCGCAAACTTTTCAATCTCTCTCAAGAAGATGATGTCTGCCAGTATGTCATAAGCAAGCACTTAAACAAAGAAGGTAAGAAACCTAGGACCAAAGTACCCAAGATTCAGCATCTTGTTCCTCCACGAGTCCTGCAGCACAAACGCCAGCATATTGCTATGAAGAAACAGTGTATTAAGAAAAATAAGGAAGAGGCTCCAGAATATGCTAAACTTTTGGCCAAGAGAATGAAGGAGGCTAAAGAAGAGTGCCAGGAACAGACTGCCAAGAGACACAGACTGTCCTCACTGCGAGCCTCTACTTCTCAGTCTGAATCCAGTCAAAAATAAGATTTTTGGCCGGGCGCGGTGGCTCACGCCTGTAATCCCAGCACTTTGGGAGGCTGAAACAGGGGGATCACGAGGTCAGGAGATTGAGACCATCCTGGCCAAAATAGTGAAACCCCATCTCTACTATAATACAAAAAATTAGACGGGCATGGTGGCGCGTGCCTGTAGTCCCAGCTACTCAGGAGGCTGAGGCAGGGGAATTTTTTGAACCTGGGAGGTGAAGGTTGCAGTGAGCCGAGATCACGCCACTGTGCTCCAGCCTGGTGACAGAGCAAGACTTGGTCTCAAAAGAAAAAAAAAAAAAAAACTAAATTGAGTAACAAATAAGATCAGACTCTCAAAAAATCTGGAAATATTCAAATTGTCCCTTTTCAGAGTCTGTGTTTCAGAGTCAGAAATAACCTGAATGTTAAACATCCAGTTTGCAATTTATTTGCTGAATGATCTAAAGCAAATAGCTTAAACTCGCTCAACTTTAATTATCTTACCAACAGAATGAGAATACCAGCTTGCAGGGTATTTGTGTGAATTAAAACATAAAGTGCCTTCATAAATAATAGCGATCTGCCTTTCAGGTAATCAATACAAAACATCCTACATATAGAACATTCAAATTGATAACTAAAATACATTAAATATAATTGAGTGGCCATTTGCATTACTGTCAAACTTTATATTTCTGCAATCACTAAAAAAGACTACTCTTTGCAAATTTTTCTAGAACAGTAATCACTGCAAAAGCCCTTTTACTATTTTCAGGCAACAACATTCTGGGAATTCATTGTATGCTAGTTGCTATATGGAGAGAAAATCAGAACCCTGCATTTAAGAAATTTAGAATACAAACAAGAACACAGAACGTCTTTTGTGCAAAGTCAGCAAATACTTTCTTGTGGATTTAGTCACGAGGAAAAGATCCCAGAGAAGAATGCCAAGAATATAGTAAGTTTAAAATCAGAACAAAATGGGATCAATTAGGAAAAACTACACACAGGAAATACTTTGTATGGTAGTTGATCCTTTGTATGCTGACTGTAGAGTTTAAAATATATAATAATTCTGCAGTCTTCTGAGTTAAAATTATTCAAGTGCCCATAAGGTTCAGAAATTCAGATGAATACACTGAATAAATAATTTACTGATATTCCATGATATGTTTAATGTGTTGTTCCTCACTAGCAATTCATAATTCAATATGCTGTGCAAAATTGTAATAAACGATGTGCTCTAAAGCAGCATTTCCATCAATCTTTGTACATGTATCCACAACACATTGCCTCAGATGATTTTTCACGGAATCCACTTTTGCCTTCAGCACACCCAACAAGTAGTAATCAAGAGAGTTCAATCTATCAAAAATATATATAGTCTCCAGACTTTGTGGTCACTTGAATTTTATTTCTTATAAGATTCACATACTCGAAGTCATATAAGCATTTTAACCATGTATATTATACCAAGTAAAAATGAATACTAAAAATGAGGTAATGGAGAAAACAACAAAATTAGATTTCTTTTGCTTTCAAATAATTCCACACCAAAACTTTTCGCTGGAAATGAAGTGATTTTTAATTTATAAATAAAAGACTCTCTAAATGATTTTCAGAATATATTACAAGTTTAGTTTTAAATAGACTTACATTTATAACAGGTCTTACAATGATTTCAATAAATAGGGACTCCAGAGCACAATGTGGAGGTACAACAATCACGTGTTGACCTCTTAATATTCCAAGGGAATCAAAATCTTTTTCAAACACAGAAGGAAACTGGGCTTTGTACAGTGCTAACCCCTAATAGCTATTCTCCTTTATAAACTACAATGTTATTGTCAGTTTCATATACTTTTACTTTATAAAGAACTCCTACAGGAAGAACTTTCTGGAGGTTGTCCCAGATATAAACAGCTACATTTTCAGTCGTGCTATAGGAAAACAAAACAAACAAACAAACAAAAATTCAAAATGCAAACAATAAAATTTCATGTTTAATATTTATAGAGAATAGAAATTCTAGTTTTGAAAGATTTAATTAAAACTTCAGGAATCACACAACAATCAAATATTCAAATCAATTCTTGTTTTACAATCTATATAAAGCAAGGTATAGTGCCACCCACCTCACCACATCTGCAAAGTATGGCACATCCATATCCAGATTCTTATGATCAAGGGGCTGCATAATTGCCTCCTAGAGACAAAACCAAGGGAAAATATCATTGGCTCCATGTATGACTCAAATTCCAAATTGTTACACTTATGCCTCTAAACCTCACCTTATCACTTAGCCACTAACTAAATACTTGTAAGTACTAGATTTGAGTCTTACAAAGCAACCTTACAAAATTTTAAGTTGTGAAATAAAGTCAGGCCCAGCTGTTGGTAATGATTAGGAACCCTTGTTACTGAATAAAAAGAGGTGAGAAACCAAAACGCAGAGAATCCTGGAGCTTTCTCGCAACACAAGCCACTGTAATTCAGAATTCAGTTTAGCACTCTGGGAATCCTGTCCAAAGAGTTAGCACCAATATTTTTCCATAACACTGTCACACCTACGGAACAATGCCACAATATCATGGACAAAGATCCAGTGACTACTACATTTTATAAAGCAGATCTGACCGAAATTACGTAAGCAGTTCTAAATTTCTGCTAGGAGGAGTAATTTAAAAATGGTTTTGGGCTCACAGAAGGAAAAGTACAAATATGTAAAGACTATTACTCCCTAATGTTCATGTATATTAACATAATGTTTTTCCTCATCATCAGCAAGGATTAAATTGCCTTATTCTTTCTTTGCTTTTTGCTTTTAGCTATTGCAAAAAATCTAGCATTTGTGAAAAAAAATCTAATTTTCCATATGGTGTAGTTTCAAGAAGGGTACATTAATAACAGTAATAGCAATCATTTCTTGAGAAAAACTAGAATCATACAAAAAGAGTAAGTCCTAGATCAAACGGTTGTTGAAACAGATCCAATGAAGGGATGCTCCACATGAATAGCAAGAAAATAGGTATCTTTGCTTCATCTTCAATCCCAGTTCCAGTCCCAATTTCTCCAGTAAAGCCTCTTACGCAGGACTTTTTGTTTTCTTTTGTTTTGTTTTTAGAGACAGGGTCCCTGTCATCCAGGCTGGAGTACAAGTGGCACAATCACAGCTCACTGCAGCCTTGAACTCCTGGGCTCAAGCAATCCTCTCCCCATGGTAGGGTTCTAAGTTCACTCTATATGCCACGATGAGTCACTTTCACTGATGAAAGTGTGTGGTGTCCTTCAGGCACACAAAAGCAGAAAACAGCACAGAGAACCCCTCCTGCAGTATTCAGTCAGATGTTGAGGGCTTTTATGTTGCTTTCTTATCTCTTTCCTTTCTTTCTTTTCTCTTTCTTTTCTTTTCCTTTCTCTTTTTTCTTTCTTTTTCTTTCTTTCCCCTCCCCTCTAATCTCCTCCCCTCCCCTCTACTCTCCTCCCTTTTCCTCTTCTCCTGTCTCTGTCTCTCTCTCTCCCCCCCACAGCCCCCCTAACCCCTGCCCTATAAATGTATGCAGGCCCTATCTCTATAACTTTCCTAAAGTACTTTGAGCACAGTGCTGTTTCTTCATTCACTCATTCTTTTCCTCATTTATGAAATCAACAGTTATTTAACAATTACTATTCTTCACCTCCTAGAAAAAGTAATGTATACACTCTGTGGGCTACATCTCATTCATCTTTGTATACTTAGCTCACAAACTGATGCAAAGTAGACAAATTTGTTGAATATATGAATAATGTGAAAGAAGTAAACATCACTAATAACATCATTTTAATAAAGCAAATGTCAAATTTCAGAACAAAACTAAGCTGCAAGTGAAATGATGGCATAATAAACAGCTGGATGGAAAGAAATCTACTCCCAACTTTGCAAATAACTAGCCACACAATCTGCGGCAAGTCCGTTAACTGTTCAGCATCTCTCAATCTTAATCTACGGATTGAAGAAGTTGGTTTGAATAATCTCCAAAGTCTCTTACAAAGCAAGAATTCTATAATGATATAATCAGTTAAGTTCTTCACTGAACCCCTTGTGTGTTATCTCTATGATGTACTGCTGTGGTGGGTTTATAATAAATCTAGAGTGAATAACATGGTGTGGTATCTAAATCTATGATCAAAAGTACAAGGAATATTCAGAGAGGGAAGAGAAAGCTCCAAGGAGAAGGCCAGGAACAGTGGCTCATGCCTGTAATTCCAGCACTTTGGGAGGTCAAGGCAGGACGCATTTGAGACCAGCCTAAACAACATAGTGAGACCCCTACCTCTACAAAAAGAAAAATTTGCATTGGCTCTGTGCCTATTAAAAAAAAAAAAAGTAAGTCTCAAGGAGAAAGCTATGTCTTAAAAGAAATGGAGAATTTGTTAACTGAAGGAAATCAGGGTATTCCAACAAGGAATACAAGGTAAGCATGTTATATTTCCTCCCATCGCTGTAACACAACTGTGACTAATTTCCATTAAGTCACCAAAACACCTTTAGAGGCCATGCGAGTAGTTCCTCCAACTATACCCCAACACCCACATCCAATTCTACTCACAGAGTCATGGAGCCTCAGGATATAACTGTTTGGGGAGGTAGATAGGGGGCCACCAAATATTATACTTAGGGAATAGCACATAATAAGCACCCAACATGCCATTACCTCCATATATTTTTTGAGATCAGCCAAATTCATAACCATTCCCGTAGCAGGGTCAATCTAAAGAATAAACAAAGGTGAATATTACTCTCATAGGCTCTCCATATTAAACAGCTGGTAAATTATTAAAGGCAGTACAGTATGCAGAGACTGTGCCCACATTTGCCTTCATCCCAGAGGTAATCACTGACCTCAGGATGGAAGCACCATGTACTTCAAGCATCCTTTTCATTGTATAGCCCTTCTACCTGTCCACACACAGCACATTAAAGACAACACTTTGGTAGAGGAGAGGCCTGGAATGGCAGCAGTTCACCACACACACATATACAAGGGCCAACAATGAGCAATACTGACTGGAACAGTTTTCAACACAGAATCCACCACACTGGCTGAAAGAGAGCCCAGCAATCTGCAAAAACCACACAAATATTTTCTGCACATACCTCTCCATGTACTGTCACCACAACTATGGAAAGGAAACAAAATACCAAAAAAACAGCATGACTTTCAACAGATTAACATCCAAGCACAAGTTAGCAACATACAAGCACAAGTTGGCAACATAAATTATTAGATCTGTCCCCAAAAGCTATACTTAAATATTTACCCCAAAACATTTGTTATTTTAGTCAAGATTTTTTTTTTTTTAAATCAACCAAAGCAAGACGCAAGCAAGACAAAGGAGCTTAGTTAGGAACTTTGGCTAAGCAGAGGCACTCAGCCAAGGCTGAAAAGGGTGTAAATTCTGCTTATAATGTTAATGCACTAGGGAGCATCAAGATGCTGCTCAATCTCTGCCTGTAGAATTAGAAACTGTACTTGTAGGTGTCCAGCTACACAGCAAGCTGGTCCAATACTGAACAGTACCTTTCTGAACAAGCAATACTACTGGGCCTTAAATTCTTATCTCCTTACTCACGTGAACGTATATAAAGTCTAAAGTAATGCTTTGTAAATTAAAAAGTGCTTGTGAAAAGCATTTGAAAACTCTTGGCCAGGTGTGGTGGCTCATGACTGTAATCCCAGCATTTTGGGAGGCCGAGGCGGGAGGATAACCTGAGGTCTGGAGTTTGAGAGCAACCTGGCCAACATGGTGAAACCCCATCTCTACGAAAAATACAAAAATTAGCCAGGCGCAGCGGTGGGCAACTGTAATCCCAGTTACTCGGCAGGCTGAGGCTGAAGAATCGCTAGAACCTGGGAGGTGGAGGTTGTAGTGAGCAGAGATCACGCCATTGCACTCCAGCCTGGGCAAAAAGAACGCAACTCCGTCTCAAAAAAAAAAAAAAAAAAAGGAAAAAAAAATCTTGATCAGTGCTGTACACATTAATAACTTTTACGAATGTATGTATTTTAGTTCTATACAAATACCATTAGGTATTACGTGATAAGTAAGTACACTGAGACTGAGATACCATAGATTAAGGAAGAGGCAGTAGCTAAACCAGTAATCCTAATCTGACACCTTGTCTGGTCTTTTTTTATGCCACCACCACACACTGGTTTATACTCTATGGCTTATGTAGCTGTTTGTTAAGGCAGGCTGTACCTCAAAGAATCAAGTCTCTTATCTTTGGACAAATTACCTACTTTCTTGGAATACTGCTGGCAAAGCTTTAGACCAAACCTATTTTTCTGCCATATATTACATTCCTAGGCAACATTCTCGTTTTGTCAGTCATTATTTACTCAAAGAATAAAATCTAATTTTAACATTAGCCTCAGCCACACCTAATCAGAAAGAAATTGTGTACTCTAGGACAAAGAAAAATGCTTTAAACCATTCATTGTTTTGGTCTGTTTGTAAGAGTTGACAATTGTAAGGTAAAACTTAACACACATCTAACCAAGACAACAGATCCTTTCATTCTACTCCCATTAAACTTCTCATTCAAAGCTCAAAGCATTCACACTGTGTCCGTAAGTTTTCCCATTCATTGTGTCTACATTTGCTGAATACTCTTTCATCCTTATTGAAGGGCTGAAATGTCATCAGTTTTTCTCTCACCTTTATAATTGTGCCCATGGCCATTTGGATTGCTGCATTTCCCAAACAGTTTCAAGTTTTCTTCATCACTCAGAAATTTACTAACCAAAAAAAAAAAAAAAGGTCAGCATGACACAAGTATCACATCCAAACCCCCTTCTCTGTTCCTTATATTTATTATTTGCTCTGATCTTTGAAAAGTCTCCCAATTTGTTATTACTTTAGCTCACCAAACGGGGAGTCAGAAATCATGATTTTTATTACTCATGTATATGTCAGAAACCATGGCATATTCCCTAATTAGAAGACTGTACCATACAAATTAGCACAAACAAACCTTAACTTCAAGCCCCTTGTTCCACAGCAGCTGATCTGCTCATGGGACTTCCGCTTTTCAATTCAACATTACTGAGTGCCTACAATGTATTAGGCAAGTGCTGAATGAAATAACAGCATATAATGATAAACATAGATGGTGATCCGCAAAGTGGCTTACTATCTCATTTCTCTCAGAAGCTAAACTACTCATCCAGAAAAAAAAAAAATTTTTTTAATTACATGACCTGGTAAGTCTCCTATTTAACAATCTTGCTTTATACTATGTCTCAATGACTGCCTCATGAGAACTTTACCAATCTGTTGAGGAATATTCAAAGCAGGTGAATTTTTAAAATTACAATCTTTGACTGTTGTCTCAGACAGAAACCAAATTGCTTAATGAATGTTTATACTTATACACATCCGTTCAATTTTGCATCCTCTATGAGGCCTTACCACCCTCAGGTGTTTATGCCTCTTATTATACAACCCCTTTCTTTTTGAGATCCTCTTTATGATTCCCCTCAATGTAGTTTGGATGTTTGTCCCCTCCAAATCTCATGTTGAAATGTGATCCCCAATGTTGGAGGTGGGGCCTAGTGGGAGATGTTTGATTCATGGGGGTGGATCCCTTATGAACGGCTTGGTGCCCTCCCTGAAGCAATGAGTGAGTTCTGGCTCTATTAGTTAATGGGCGAGCTGGTCGTTAAAAAGAGCCTGGCACCTCCTCTCCTCTCTCTTGCTCCCTCACTTGCACTGTGAGTTGCCTGCTTGCTCCCCCTTCGCCTTCCACCATGAGTGGAAGCTCCCTGAGGCCTCAACAGAAACAGATGCTGGTGCCATGCTTCTTGTACAGCCTGCAGAACCAAATAAACCTTTTTTCTTTACAAAACACCAGTCTCAGTATTCCTTTATGGCAATGCAAAATGGAATAACACACCCCCACTTTCTCCCGCTCAGCCACTTCTTGTATTTAAAGTGCTAAAGCCTTTTGCACAAAATTCTCTCAGTGTACCCTCCACAAAATAGGTCAGATTGGAAACCCCATACAAGACCCCTGATGCATCCGTTACCTAGCACAAGCCCTGACAACCAAGAAACAAATTCTCGTTTAGCGAATGGAGGGATGAATCCCGTTAGGTAGCAATGGTCATCCTCATTTCACAGACGACGATACGGAAGGCCAGAGAGTGGAGCTTGTTAGTGAGTGGTAAAACTCCTCAAAATCAACTCTTCAGTGCATGCAAGCAGTATGTACGATCGGGTTTCAAATCCCAACTATGCTGCTTGCTTCGGAAACTGAACGTCTGGGCTCGTTGTTTTTTTTTTTCTTTTTTTTTTTTTTTTTTTTTTTTTTCCTAGCCACTAGACCACCAGGGACTGGGTTCATTCTGTCTTTGGTTAAAAAGGCGCTAAAACTTGCCTTGTAATTACATTAGATATGGTCGCCA